CTCCCACATTCCTATAAACGGAACTCTTAGGTGAGTTCTTTCAACTGCCCCCTCCACCACCAACCCCACCCCATTCCATTCTTCCTTGCTCAGGTCCCTCTCCAGTTGTCCTCTCCCTCAGGCTCACATTATGGAAAGAACATCCAAGGCCCTTCATAATGTGACCTCAGCCCCAACTTTGCAACCTCAGCTCCACTATTCACTGACCTGAACCCCATATTCTAATCAACAAGACTGTTCACCATGTACTCTCCATACTTTTGTGCTTTCCAGGGCCTGCAACTTTGCCACACCCATCTCATTCATCAGTTACATCCTCCCCTCCAACCTCCGCCCCCTCCAGCCTCAGGCATCTTTGAAAGCCTGGGTCAGATGTCAGCTGCTTCACAAAGCCCCCATGCACCCAAATGTAACCTCTCTCCCCCTCTCTCTCCATTTTCTCTCTTGCAAACCCCAAGACATTTACGTGGCCAGGTATTATGGTGATAAGGGGACCTCCCAATGACCCCAGACTACAGGGGCCAGAATGAGGTCTTGACCATTGTTGGCTGCACCCACAACTTCCAGCACTGTGCCTTTTTTCACTAAATACCAGCTGCTTGGACAAGCAAAAGAGAGAAGGAATGGAAGCATGAAGGAAAAGGTGTTAAACCACAGAACTGCAGGCTGTTGGAGCTGCAGGGGGCCTCTGAGGACTCCTAAGCTAGATGAGAAAGCTGTAAGGATGGGCAGGTGGTCAGTGGGAAGAACCCTGCCAGCTCCTCCAGCACGGAGCCAAGAGCTCCTGGGGACCAGGGTAGTCAGTAGCCTCATGGCTTAGGCCTGTGTCTGCCCCAGTAAGGGTCCAGAAGTGTCAGCCCGGGCTCCTCCCACAGCATGGACCATGCCCAGGTGTAGACAGGACCTGAGTCTCATCCACCTGTGAGGCTCTCCTCTGCCGGAAGGGAAGGGACGTAGATCTTCAACACCCCTCCCTGACTCTCAGGCTCAAGCGCCATCTGCTGGCCAAGGTCAGCACTGCACCTGGACCCACAGCCCCAAGGGCAGTCAGGAGACCAAAGCTGAGACCATCCCTAACCCACTCCAGACACTGGTCACATTCGGGGCAGCAGAAATGACCCTATCTCCTAGAGCTCAGGCTTCTAATTGCTTCTCAGAACCTGTCCTTCAGGACTTAAGCCTAACATTCAAAATAAAAGGGAAAAGTAAGTTTCTTTCTGGTAATACTAGCTGAGAAAACTTCAAGACACAGACACATAGAAAAGTGATTACCTAAAGAATTTCTTCCCAACAGAAGCTCTGTTCCATGGGGGACAAAGCACAGGCCTTGGAATCAGAAGGTGTGAGGTCTCGTCCTCTCGCTCCCATGCCCCTCCCTCAACTATGTGGCCCCCCAACCCCCAGGCCACATACACCCTGCCTAAGCCAACTCCTACGCCAGGATGGTGCCCCTTCCCTTGCCCTCACCTCCACACTGATGGCACTGGCTGCTGCCCAGGGATCTGGACTAACCCAGAATCAAATGTAAGTCATGGGATCCAGAGGAGCTACAACCTCACTCTCAGCCCCACCTCTGTGCTGGGGACGCCCCTCAGGGCCAGCCCTAGACATGGGACCAGGATTGGTCTGAGGACACTAGTGACCTTCCAAGGCTTCTACTGATGGGCAGGGTCCCCAAGAGGCCTAGATGGAACCAACCAGCAGGGGCTGGAACACACCAGCCTCGAGCTCCTCCCCAGCCACCACTCCGCTCTCTTCAGTTTGAGACTGAGGGCAGCTGTGCAGACTTGGAGCTCCGGGTAGCTTCACAGCCCGCCCAAGGACTTGGACCTGGAAAGAAGATGGGGAGGCGTGACAGACTCAGCTTCCTTTAACCACACTCCTGAAACCAGGAATGAAACAGAACTTTCCACTGAGGGTCTCAGGGCAGGTGTGGAGAACAGGACTAGCGGGCCTGCTCAAACATCTTCCTGGGAGAAGGGTTGCTCCCTGAGAAGCATCACGGGAGGGGCTGGAGGAGGAGGGAAGTGCAAAGTGAGTGACTTTGCCCCGCCCTCCCACCCCCACACCCACCTACCCTGCTTCCCACACAGCCCCGTTCCCCTCCCTCCACCCACAGCCTGAGAAAGCGTGTCACAGGGAACAAACGCCATCTTCGCGGGAGGGAGGAGGAGGAGGAAGAAAGGGGGAAGGAAGACTTTGATCCTGTGCCTGCAGGGGCCTTGGTAAGAAACTAGAGGTTTCTGAGCCTCTCAGCTGTGAGGGACGCCCCCTCAGAACTGCGACCTTGACATTAGCCTCCCTTTCTCAGAGGGCTCGGGACAACCTGAGGGGCAGGAGCGACAGGCCCCCACACTCAGGGCTACTTGGCCAGGGGTGCCTAGAGACGAGGCCTTGAAGACGCAGATGAGATCTTCCAACCTCAAACATGCTTTGGGCAGCTGGGTGGGCCCACCATGACTGCTGACACCCTGAACTTCCCATCTTGCTTCACTGGCTTGGAGGAAGCCACTGAGCGGCTCTTGCCTCCCCCTCCAGCTCTCCTCAAACAAATCGGCCTCCAAGGGTTAATCTGCTGCCTTCCCTCCCCTGCATCCGCCCCCGCTGAGCTGCCACATGCCAGCAATGATGCACCTCACACTGTTATTACAGTGATTTATTTAGTTTTAATTTGGGGGTGAATCTCGTGCTGTAGGAAGCAGGAGGCCAATAGTCTTGGCAAGAGGCAAAGCCACGCATGTGCCAATCCTGTCCCCTCTGCCTGGGGTCCGTGCATCCTAACCCTGCTCCTCCCACCCAGCCTGTGGTCTGCTCCTGACTCCAGCCTGAAATCAGGTTTACCCTTCACTCAATCTCCCCCACTTTGAAGATGCTCCTCAGTGGGAAGAGAGTCCACTTAGGTGTCTATGCTCACCTTCTGTGTGATTCAGGCCCCTCAGAGAGTCACTTAATAAGGCCCCCTACAGGCCAGGCTGTCACTGAGGAGAGGGACATCTTTGGCTGGATGCTGGGCACCTGACACCAGCTCTGCACTAAGGGACCAACGGCCAGGGCCAGCTCCTTGCAGATCAGCAAAAACAGAACAACTGATCTTTATGAAACCTCTGCCCCTACTCTCTGCCCTGCCCTGAGTAGCCCAAGGAAGCTGCCACTTGTTCATCCATTGGTTCATTAAACAAACACTGGCACCCAGTGTATACCAGCTACCGTGCTGGTGCTGTAGCTATAGGGTAAAAGGACCATCACAGTCTTCATTCCCAAAGACTTTATTACTTGCAGTGGAACCACCTAGACACAACTAACCAAGCCACAAGACGCACAAGCGGCGGGAGCAAAGCTGTGCAGAGGATCAGAGTAGACTTCACAGAAGAGCTGGGATTTGGCCAGGACACCTCGCTCCCAGCACAGTGCCTGGCCTTTGCTGGATGGATGGGTAGATGGACAAACGGCCTAGAAACACAAAGAATTACTTAACAGGGAGAGAATGGAGTAAAGATGCTCCAGACAGACAGAGGAGCACGGCATAGGCACTGAGGGCTAAGGGGACACAGTGAACCTGCAATAAGCAGTGCAGTGTGACCAGGGCACAGGGAAGTAATCACAATAACAGCAGTAGCTAAGATTTGTTGAGCACTTGCTCCAGGTCAGGTATTGCCCTAAGTGCTTTACTATATTCATTATCTCTTCTAATCTTCACGACTCTGCCCCATTTTACAGATACAGAAAGTGAGGATCCAAGAGGATAAATAATGTGTGCAAGGTCCAAGCTCCTGGCTCCAGAGCCCAAATTCTGATGCCACTCTGCCCCACCAGGTTATGGACATGAAACACAAGGCAGGTGGAAGGCGGATGGGGGGCACCTGGAAAGCCCTGCTAAGCATTTCATTTTAGGGTAATCAGGAGGCATCAAAGGTTCTAAACTAATCTCAGGAAAGGCAGCAGCTGATCAAGGCTTGACTTTAAGATTATTTTGCTCAGAAAAAGTCTAGAAGACCCAAAGGATTCTCTCTCAAAGAGGAGAATTTCAAATACAGTAATAGGTGAGTGGGGAGAGGAAGTTTGTTTAGTAGAGATCTCTGAGGTCTCCTCAAATTACAGCACACAACTTCTAGGGCTGGGCCTGACCCTGCAGCTCAGCAACCCGCCGATGGCTGCTCAGTCCCCTCGCTATCCCCAGAAGCAAGATGACCAGAAGAGGCCAGCGAGGGTCCACACCACTGGGCCCAGTGTGGGTTCCACACGTCCTGCAGACAACGGCACAAGTCCAAAGGAGTGTGACCAGGGCTGTGTACAGAAGGGCCCGTAGCCCCTTTCTCTGTTGCTCCGGGGGCAAAATGAAGACTGGAAAAGTAAGGTTTGAGGAGGCAGGGCTTAGCCCTCAGGAGAAAACACTTTTACAATTAGATACAACTGACCAAACAAGGGACCATGTTGGGCAGCAGATGACAGAACAAGCTTCCTGTCACTAGAGGTAATCAAGTAGTGGCTGGATGACTGCCTGCCAGAGACATTCCAGAAAAGCCAATGCACTGAATGGTTTGGGCAGCTTACTGATGGCATCATAGAGCAGTGCGCTGGAATCACTTATGGAAGAGCCCTTGGACATTTTACCTTACCAGCTAAGCCTCCATCTCTCACGTGCAAAATGGGGTTAATGATAGAACCTACCTCATGTCTGCATGAGGATTAAGTGAGAGACTGCACAGAACACAGCACAGCCATCGGCACGCAGTAAACCCTCAATAGTTGATAGATACTATTAGGTTGAACCATACAAATCCTATTAGGTTGCATGTCAAAAACAGTTGAGTATGAACTATTTCATGTGGTTCACTGAGGGCCACTGACGTTCCTTCCCACCTCTGATTTCAGCACTGAACATTGCCGTGAAGTGTGGTTCTGCACCAGCGGTGGATCCCAGCACCCGGCAGCCAGAGCTCTGCCTGGGCTTTTTCAAAGCACATGGCCTGGGGCCCCTCCCGCCTGGCAGAGGCAGGTACCTCTTTGCCCAGGTCCTCGCGGATGACCTGGCGGACATCCTGCATGCTGCTCTGCGGGGCCTGGCTGTGAAGCACCTTCAGCGTGCTGGTGTACTCCTCGGGCAGCAGGTAGTCCAGGGCCCCCAGGTGCTGGCCCACCTTGATGAAGGTGCCCCGGTTGGCACAGCAGAGCTCACAGAGACGCCTGGCAGAACGGAGGTGCACCTGCAGGGAGAGAGGCCGGGGCCCGAAAGGTGTGAGTGCACACTGTCCACTGAACCTTGTTCCCTTTTCCCGTCCCCTCTGCTTGAAAATCCTGATTTACTCCCCTGCGTACACACACACACACACACACACACACACACCCCTTCATTCACCTTCTCCCTCAATGTTCTCCTTCAGTGTCGGTACCCAGAGCAGTCAATTCCAACCTCACACTGAGGCCGGCCTTCTCACACGGCACAAAGCTTCTGATCTCCTTTCCATCAAAACTTACCTGATCCGGGTCCCATTCTCTCAGAAAAGAGCATTCATTCAAAGCTTTTAACCAAATCTAACCTACTCATGATTCATTCAAGTGTACGTTGAGTTAATGTATTTGCCACTCAACTCACAGACTGTCTGCTTGGAGGTCTACAATTTATAAAACATGGTCATATACATTATTTCTTTTCATCCTTACAGCAGCTCAGGGAGGCAGGTATCGGCATCATTAAAGATAAGAAACTCAGAGGTTTTGCTTATAAAGAAATAGCTAATCAATGTCAAGGGAAAGTCTAGAAAATACTCCAAACAGAGGGCTCTTTTAACTCAGCAAACTTTAGCAGGAGTCTCCTATTAACTGGGTGGTATCAGGCACATGGGGTAGGCAGCTGGGCAGGCTGCCTAAGACAGGGCAGCCTTAACTTGCAGCCCAATGCCTGTCTGTCCTTCCAGAGCTGGGAGATATCCCCCCAGGCATCACCCCAGCTCAGCTGAGGATCTTGGAACTACCAAGCAACAGCATCTCAGGCAGGATGGGGCCATGGACACACACACAAGACAAGGGAGCCCAGCGCCCTGTGGAAACCTGGTACCCTCTTTGACCCGTGGAGTCAACCAAGAGAAGGTGAACATCTCTAACGGACTCACCCTCTCGTAAGTGCTGTGAAAGATGCTGACGTAATTACACACATATTGGAGGCAATCATGTGAAGAGTTAAATAACAGTTGGGAACAAAGATGGAGGAAACGTTCAAAGAGCCCACATAATTAGTTGCCAAGTGAACCATACAGAAAATTGTTACTTTAGAAATTAAGAGAACACTATAGCCCTGAGCACCCTTGTCCCAGCAGCCAGGGAGCCCATCTGCCCCCTCCCACCACAGCAGAGAGGACGCCCAGATTCCAGACACCAGCAGGCTATCCTTAGGCCCTCGAGGCCCTGCCCACTTCCGGCTCTGCTGGATACCTCTGCATCCCACCCCAACACACTCTTGGGGAACCCTATGTACACATGACTCCATCCCCCTAGGCAGAGCCCTCCAGCCTTGATGTGAATACCTGGTCCAAGCTGGGCCAAGAAGAGTCTTTTTCGCCTGAAAGGAGGGTATAGGGAGAAGAAAGTTAATTCTAAGAATTAAGAGAGAGAGCAAGCCCCTAGATGAATCAAAGGATGTTGGGGGAAGGAGTGGATCTTCTTTCTTAAGAATTTGGAACGGGGGATGGAGCTGGCCAGTGTCAGATGGTGGAAGGTCAGTGCTGTGGCTGGCCAAGGCCACACTCAAGCCCTAGTTCTGAGGATGTGAGAAAGAAGGCAAACATGGCCAAACATGGTACCAGGCATTTCCTCATGGTACCAGGGTCCAGACTGCTATGAACAAATGACTTTTTGCAGCACAAATAATTGTCCCTCAATTCCAACTCAGCTGAGAGATCACAGTCACCAGAATAAGAAGCAGCCAGAAAGGCATCCACAATCCTTTAGTCCTAAGGTATGGTGGGACCAGAGCCCAAATCAAGCCAGATGCTCCCAGTGCGGGCTGCCCTGGCACCCAGAGGCCTGCTCCCCCAAGAAGACTCAATCAACCCCACGCCAAAGCTGTTCTGGGGTCAATGCCAAATGGAAGTGAGGACTAGAAGACAGGGTGAAGACACACCCCACTTCTCCTCCCCTCCCAGCAAAGACATCAACCACCAGGTATTTACGTGGGACTTACTGAGTCTATCACACGGGGAGAAGCGACAGAGCCACTCGTGCACAGAGAATGACACACGGCAGCAGGATCACACTGAGTCCTGCAGGATCTTACAGATGGAAGAAACAAGAGGGCTGGATAGAGAGGCTTGACTCCCGGGAGGGGCAGCAGTGTGTGGGCCACTCGTGAATTTATGGCCTCTCAGATACAAATGCACCCTTCTTTGCCCTGCTTTGTGATGTGGCAGCTGGACCCTGTATTATTTCTTCTTTGTCAGATGGCTTGCTAATAGGCTTTGTCAACAGGCAGCTCTGGAGGGACACTGTGAGGCCACAGCAGGAGCAAGAAGTCTCCCTTACTGGTGCCCGTGTGCCGTTTTCAGCTCAGCAGCCAGCGGGTCAGTGGCTTGGGGTCAGTGGCCCTCACAGACCAGTGGACACTCACTGAATTTCTTCACTACCTGGTAAGCCCCACCAGGACAGCCCTGACTCTCCGCCTTGTGGGTGGGAGGCCCTCAGCTGAGCCCTTAGTTCTGTCCTTGTTCACTACCCCTCCGCCCTGGAGAGAGAGTTGCTATATGCATGTATTACTTCTGTACCCTCGGAATCTTCTTTTACTCCTTGTAGGAGTTAACTACCTTTTACTAGTTAATAGGTCTTTATATTAAAGTTTCCCCCATCAAATTACTGGCATGACTGGCCCCTGGCTGATACACAGGATTAGCCCCTGAAATTAAATCTGAAAAGATTGGGATTAAAAGGGAGGACATTTCAGGTCAAGAGAACAACATAACAACATGCACGTGTACACGTGTGTTGCTGAAAACCTGCCCCACCATTTCCTTTGGTCTGGATTCACATCTGCATTTGTCTCTGTCGCTGGCAGCCCTCAAAAAGGAGCAGCCTCACCCTGCCAAGCCCTCTCACTAGGGATCAGAGCTCTGCTGGCCCTCACCTGTGGCTTGAGCCAGTCCCAAGCAGGGTGTCTCTAGGCACAAAGTGCTGGTCTCCTTCAGGATACTGTCTGGGCAATGCAAGGAGCCTTCTCCAGTCACACAAGCCGAGTAAGGCAGGTCTACCTCCCACTCACTGGTTCCTTGGCACATCAGCCAGCGGGGACAGACACCATGTGTGTCTGTATGCTCTGTGTACCTCAGGGCAAGCCGCGCATGAGCCAGAAATGTAGATTGATGACGACTACGGGTCATACTCTCACCAAACCATTCTCCGTGAAACTGAGTCAGCATCTACTGTAAATGGCACCCACATTTCAACTAAAGAAGCCCCAAGGTCACCTTCAACCATCTTCCAAATAAATGCACACACACACTCTCTCTCTCTTTCTCTCTGTCATATGGAGGTGAGAGACATTGCCACTCACCAAAAAATTTAAATGTTCCTTTAAGGCCAAAAGATACAAATGCTGAATAACAGAGCAGGCACTCTGATCTCCGGGATCCCCTTCCAGCTCCAGCTCTGACAGCTCCACTTGGGATCAGAAGGCAGGTCCCACTCAAAATTTCAAGAAACTGCTGGCTTAGTGCAAACTCCCTCTTCCGGCATCACTTAATTTGGTGCCGTAAGGAGCTAAGCCTGCTGGCAGCAAGGATCCTATACAGGAATCTCACAATTCTCTCCTACCCCTGTTCAGGCAAGTGTGCTCAATGAAAAGGCCAAGCTTCCAGAATCTCCTGACCCTCTGCATTCTCTTGAATCTACTCCTCCTTACTACACACATCTTTGAGCACCTACACAGGCATAAGCAGCAGAAGGGATACGCAGGTAAGTGGGAGTCAGTCATAACAGTGCTGTCCAGTAGAACTTCCTGCAGTGATGGAAATGTTCTGCACTGTCCAATATGTGGCCACTGGCTACATGGCTACACGTAGCTACTGAGCACTTGAAATGTGGCAAATGTGGCTGAGGAACTGAATTATTCATTTTATTTCATTTCAAATAATTTACATTTAAATCACCCCTTATAGCTAGTGGCTACCATATGGGACAGCTCAGGTTTATAAGTTAGTAACAACCATAATAAATTAATTCTAAGTACTATTCCTGGCCTACAGTGAACACTCAAATATGGTGGTGGGAGTAGTTATTGTTTTTAAATCTGTCCAATATCTCTGTAAAATAGATCTTCCTGTGGGGCTTTTAAGATGAAGAAATAATCTCAAAGAGGTTCCATGACATTCCTAAGGTCCCGGAGCCATTAAACAGTGAAACTTTGGTGTTCAACCATGTACTAGGAAGCAGGCATCAACTGAATTGCTCTATGTCCAAGGCATTGTGGGGATGCAAGGAAGTACAGCCACGGTCCTCACGGGCAAGGAGCTCACAGTATAGACCTAGAGGTGGACATGCATCCATGAAACGAGAAGCTCAAGTGGCAGGCAACAAAGGTAGGTACCCTGTCACTCCCAGCTATGACATGTGCTGGAGAGGTCACGCCCACTAGCCTGGACCCCAGGGTGGCCACGGAAGTTGAATCAAGTATATACAGTTGAAAAGGCCAATGCAAGCTGTAGTTGGTCTTGAATATAATAAGAAGGGATCATATAACATAATGGTTAATAGCACTGGCTTTGAAATCAAAAAGACCTGGGTTCAAATCCTACTTTGCCACTTCTTTGGCCTATAACCTTGGGCAAGTGAATTAACTTTGGAGCCTCAGTTTCTTCATCAGTAAAAGGAGGATAAAAATAACTGTCACTGTAATGATTAAACAAAGCAATGCATAAAAAAGAGCTTAGCACAGGGCCCAGCATATAATCAGTGCTCAATAAATGATGGTAAGAGACAGAGAGGGAAAAAAAATCAATCTTCCTAGAAAAATGAAATTTAGGAAAAAAAAATAAAACACTCCAGACCCAGACACTCCCTGTACTTTGTTCAGTCCAAGAAGTCTGGACCACAATCGAACAGAAACAATAGCTAATTTCATGCTCTTGCCATCTAAATTGCAAAGCATCCGTGCATAAGAAATGCAAATAGCTATAGAGCATTATTCTAAATACACCAACTTTAGGTTCTCTTCATACTTTCCCTACCACCTCAACATTGACCACCCATTTGCTCACTAGACCCAAGTCCTGTCTTTACCCGGCACCTGGTTTCACTGGCTGGGTAGATATGTCCCTGCAGCATGTCCTCACTGCAGAGCCCCCACACTCCCACTTCCATCCCTGCCAAAATGTGGCAGGAACAGCTGGCGCAGTCTCCCTGCCCCTCCTCCAACTTCGTTTTCACTCCCAGCTCAATAACTTGCCTTATGATTATCTCATTACCAATAACCTTGCTGTAATGAGTTTTAATCTGCCTCATATTAATTAAGAGCATTGTCATTAGCCAGCTTGGTTTGGGGTTTGGGAGAGGGACAGTGAATAGCTAATAAGAACAACTCAGTGCTGATTAATTATTGATTGGGAGGGATGGAGCAAAAGCCCAAGGAGGGCAATTCTTTACTCTTGTCTAACCCCCAAGAGCAGTGGCCTCGGCCCCCAAACTTGGCAGAAAGGTGCCAAAGTCAGACAGAATCAATGGGGCTCCCCATCAGAACGGGGCAATATCTCCAGTGGGGTTTAGGGGTGTGTGTAGGACAGAAGGAAAGAGGCAGTTAGACAGACACACATACATACCCCACACAACTCAGGAAAAAAGAAAGAGACAGTGAAAGAGGTGACAGACCCCCAAAGAGAGAAAGACCTTTGATTAATTCTTCTAGTCAAAAGCTCAAAACTCAAAGGAAATGCACTGAAATGTTAACAGTGGTATCTCTGGGCTGTGAGATTACAAGAGTATTTTTTCTTCTTTAGAGGTTTTTCTGTATTTTTCAAATTTATTAAAACTAAAATATGTCCATAATGAGGGAGAATTTTTTTTTTAAATCATCCTTCTTCAAGATCTTCTGGGAATAGAAAAGTGCATCTGACTTTTTTTTTCAACTTTCATTGTACAAGACTCTGCCATGCAGGCTGAACCAGCTTTGGTGCAGAGAGAGGAGTCCAGCATCTCTTCCCCAATTTGGCAGGGTGCTGTGATCCATGTGTGTCTTCTTCATCGTGAGAATGGAATTGTAACCCTTCCCTCATCCCCAAGAAATGAGACCAGCACTGTCTCCAGGGTCTCTTTTCCAGATGTCACCCTTTGCTTTGTCGTTTAGGGAACAAAGTAAAATTAATCATGTCTTGGGGAAAAAAACAAGTTGCACTTTATAAAAGTTCTGAAGGAGCTTGACAACAAATTTAATCCCAATCCTTAGGAGTGTTCTCTGTCTCTCCTCTGACCACACGTGGGGTAGATCCTGGTCAAGAGCAGAGTCTGTGTCCCAACGTCACCACTCAGAAGCTGGTGACCTTGGCCAAGATACGTAACCTCTGTGTACTTCAGTCTTCTCATCTATAAAAGGAAGATAATAACAGTACCTACCTCAGGGGGCTGCTGTGAAGGTTAAAAGAGGTGAGGTAATGCATGTTCTCCACTTAGACAGAGCTGGCATTTCTGTGCTTGTTGCAAGGGCACCTAGGATTTGGTTTAATCAGGTATGGAAAGACACATAGACACAGAAATGACTGTCATAAAGGAAGAAGTTTTTACTCACAGTTCCCTGACGCAGGAGGCTTGGCATGCCATGCAGGGCCACACGGAGAAGCACCAGGGTTGGCCACGAGACACAGGGAGCAAGGGGAAAATGTGGGTGAGAGCTTTTATTGTGGATTCCATGGGAAAGAATGGGTGAGGCAGGGTAAGCAGGCTTAAGATTGGCTATTTTGAATAATTTTAGTGGGCTTTGGGGCATAGGGGCTGTCCCTAGTTGTTTGGTTCATGGCCCTGGGGTGATAAGGGCAGACAGATAGTGGTCCAGAGTCTAAGAGCTGACAGAGGAGGTGGTTAGTGGGTGTAGGCCCTAGATTGGTTGGTTTGCATATGCAAGGCATGCTCCCAGGAGAGTTGTTTGCTATCTCCAGGAATTAGTTAACCCTAAGAGGGGCAGTTCTTCCAGTGTCAGCAAGGCCCCACCATGTCAAAGGATCAGAAAGTACAAGAAAAAGAAACATGATTAATACAATACTCTAGCTATACTCCCTTGGGGATCTCACCCAGTATCACGGTTGTAAATACCATCTACATACTAATAAGACACAAACGCACATCCCCTGCCTAACTCTCTCCCCTGACTCCAGACTCACATATCCAACTGCCTCTCTGATATCACTCCAATGTCCAATGAGCTCCTCAAATTTATCATGACTTTCCCACCATTCCCACCACCACCAAACCTGCTCCTCCCACAGTCTTCCCCATCATAGGACACTGAAACTCTAAACTTCAGGCTGCTGAGCTATCAGTCTTCTGTCATCCTGACATCTCTTCCAAAACAAGGACTAAAATTACCTTTCTGTCTGAAATAAAAAACTGGCTTTTAAGGCACTGGATATCAGGCAATGAAGGACGGTGATTCCTGAGAGATGGGAAACAAGGTGAACCCTACGATTGCCCCAGTTTGCTGCACTGAGAGTTTCCAGGCCACCATGCAGGGAGGGGGGATCGGGGCAGTGCCCAGAGGATTCCCTGAATTGAGGAGAAGGAGCTAAGAGTCCAGGAAGACCAAAGCAGCTGGAGTTCACAGGACAGAGAACTGGAGAGGCGAGAGCTATACAAAGAAAGAACACCAAAGATCTGAGGAGGGTCCATCTCACATTTTCAGCTGAGTACCAGTCAAACACATGCACATGAGAAAACTACCTGAGTCCAGAGAAAAAAAAAAAACAAAAAGACTGGGGTTCACAGTACCCAGAGCTCACACAGGGCCTATTTCCACCAGCCAAACTAGAAAATCTCATAATTCATGGGGCATTTGTTATAATACCCAGAAGGGGCTTGCCTCAGAAATAGGGAATATCCCAAACTAAACACTGCTCCATTCCCACCTAACAAATATTAAAAGAAAAACTTGAAAGAAAGTCAGACTGTTTCCAAGTAACTTAACTGTGTCCCAGAAGAAAGCTCAACAACATTTATAGGAATACAAAAATATCTAGCACCCGAAAAGATAAAATTGCAATATCTGGCACCTAGTTAAAAACTTATCAAGCGTGCAAAGAAGCAGGAAAATACAACAGGTAAAAAGAAGAAAAACTAATCAATCAAAACCAATATAGTACTAAAACCTATAGTAGAATTAGTAGAGAAGAACATAAAATCAGTTATTATACTTGTATTTTGTATGTTCAAAAGTTAAGCAGAGACACAGGCAATAAAAAGAGAGAGAGTGAGCGAGATCCAAACAAAAGTTCCAGAGATGAAAACCATACATGTGACATGAAAAATACACTGGATGGGATTAACGGTCGATTCAACACTGTAGAAGAAAAGATTAGTGAACTTGAAGAGCTAGCAATAGAAACTATTCAAAATGAAACACGCAGAGAAAAAATAATTTTTAAAAATGAAAAGAGCATCAGTGAGCTGTGGGACAAATCCAAGCAACCCAGTAAATATGTAGGTGGAGTCCCCAAAGGAGAGGAGATGGGAGGAATGGAGAAAACAATATTTCAAGAAATAATAGCTGAAAATTTTTCAAATTTGATTTCTTTAAAAAAAGAAAACTATAAACCAACAAATGCAAGAATCTCAACAAGCCCCAAGCACAAGAAACATGAAGAAAACTACATAATGAAATTGTCCAAAATCAGTGATAAAGAGAAAACCTTAAAAGCATCCAGAGAAAAAAGATACACTATGGACAGAGGAACAGAGATAAGAATGACAGATTTCTAACTGACAATAATACAAGCAGAAGTTAATGGAGCAAAACCTTTGACAGCACTGAAAGCAAACCCAGAATTCTATTCCCAGCAAAAACATTGTCAAAAACAAAAGTAAAACAAAAAGTCCTTCAAATATATAAAAGCTGACAGAATTAATCTCTCTGTACTATAAGAAATGTTAAAGGACAGCCTTCAGGCAGAAGGAAAATGACAGCAGGTGGAAATACTGATCTACATAAATATAAAAACACAAATAGGTTAAATGTAAAAGGATACAAAAAGATATACCAACACTAATCAAAATAAAGCTGGAATTGCTATGTTTATATCAGACAAAACTGATTTTAGAGAAAAGAATATGACCCAGGATAAAGATCATTTCATAAGGATAAAGAAGTCAATCCCTCAAGAGGACATAACAATCCTAAAGATTTGCACCCAACAACAGAGCTTCAAAATACAGGAAGTAAAAACTAACGGAACTGCAATGAGAAATAGACAAATCCACAATAACAGACAGAAATTTCAATACCTGTCTCTCAATAAGTGATAGAACAAATACATAGAAAATGAGTCAGGATATAGAAGACCCAAACACCACTATCAACCAACTTGACCTAATTGGCATTTATCGAATACTCTGCCCAACAAGAGCAGAATATACATTCTTTCCAAGTGCAAAAGGAACATTTACCAAGGGAGACCATATTCTGGGTCATAAAACAAGTCTCAATAAATTTAAAAGGATCAAAGCACACAAAATATGTTCTCTGACCATAAGGGAACTGAATTAAAATCAATAACAAAAAAACTCTTGAAAATCCCCAAATATTTGAAAACTAAATAACACAGTTTAAATAACCTACAGGTCAAAGAAGAAGTCAAAAAGGAAATCAGAAAGTATTTTAAATTGAGTTTAAATGAAAATGCAACATATAAAAATTTGTGAGATGGCATAAAGCAGTACTTAGGGGAAAATGTATAGTATTATACACCTATATTAGAAAAAGAAGAAAGGTCTCAGATCAATGACCTCAGCTTCTACCTTAAGAAACTAGAAAAAGAAGAGCAAATAAAACTCAAAGTAAGCAGGAAAAAAGGAAATAATACAGATAAGAACAGAAATCAATGAAGTAGAAAACAGAAAAAAGAGAGGAAGAGAAATCAATGAAACCAAGAATTGATTCTATGAGAAGATCAAAATTGATAAGCCTCTGACCAAGCTGATCATGAAAAAAAAGAGAAGACATAAATTAACACTTTTAGGAATGAGAGAAGTTACATCACTACAACTATTAAAAGGACAACAAGGTACTATTAACCACAACTTTATGCCAGTAAATTTGACAGCTTAGATGAAATGGACAATTCCATGAAAGACACAAACTGTCAAAGTTCACTCAAGACATACATAATGTGAAAAGCCCTCTACGTATTAAAGGAATTGAATATGTAGTTAAAAACCTTCCCACAAGAAAAACTCCGGGCCCAGATGGTGTCATGGGTGAATTCTACTAAACTTTTAAGAAAGAAATATACCAATTCCACATAAACTCTTCCAGAAAGTTGAAGACAAAATACTTCCCAACTCGTCCTAAAAGACCAGCATTACCCTGATAACAAAACCAGACAGAAAATACATGAAAAAAAACACGACAGACCAATATTCATTGTGAACATAGATGCAAAAATCCTAAAAAAAAAAATTAGTAAATCAAATCCAACAATTTATAAAAAGGCTCCATTCTTCTCATTACACCCTATCAAGTGGTATAAAATTTTGATTTGTCTCCTACTGGTGGTCAATTTTGATCACTTCATTAAGATGGTTATCCACCTGGCTTCCTCACTTAAAGTTACTTGTTTTCACTTTGTAGTTAAGTATTTTGTGGGAAGGTACTTCCAAATTTTGTCAATAACCAGTTCTTTATCAAACTTTGAATTTATTCATTTATTTATATCAGTTTGGACTCAAAGATTTCTACTTTTTTTAATGGATCATAATCCGTTACTATAATTTACTTGTTCATTTTAACAGCCTCATTGAGGTATTTTGACAAACAATAAACTACGCATATTTAAAATGTAGAATCTGATACTTTTTGACATATTTATACACCTATGAAACCATTACCGTCATCAAAATAGTAAACATATCCATCATCCCAAAAGTTCTGTGTTCCTTGTTAATTCCAGCCTCATCTCTCCACATACTTCCCACCTCCAGACAACCACTGACCTGCTTTCTCTCAGTAGAGACTAGAATTTTCTAGAGATTTATATACATGGAATCATACAGCCCATATTCTTTTTTGGTCTTGCTTTTCACTCAACATAATTTTTATGAGATCCATCTGTGTTGTTGCAAGTATACTATTCTTTTTTATTATATATATATATTTTTTACAATATTCTTTATTATTACAGTTTATTCTTTTTTCTTACTGAGTAATATTCCATTACATGCATATACCACAATTCATTCATTCATTCATCTGTTGATGTACATTTGGGTTGTTTCCAGTTTTTGAGTACAAATAAAGCTGTTATAAACATTCATGTCCAAGTCTTTGTATGGACAAATGCTTTCATTTCTCATGAGTAAATACTTAGGAATGTAATGGTCAAATTGTATAGCAGCTATGTTGAACTTTCTAAGAAATTAAACTGTTTTCTAAAGTGGTTGTACCATTTTACATTCCCACCAACAGCGTATGAGAGTTCCTCCACATCCGCCCAGTGCTTGGTATAATGTCTTTTTCGTTTTAGTCAATCTAAGATGTATAACGGTATTTCATTATGGTTTAAATTTGCATTGCCCTAAGACTAATGATGTTGAGCACCTTTTTATGTGCTTACTTACCATCTCTATATATTCTTTGGTGAAATGTCCATTCAAATCTTTTGTCAATTTTTACTGGTTTGTTTTCATATTATTGAGTTACAGGAGTTCTTTACATATTCTATATACAAGTACTTTACCAGATATTTGATTCACAAATATTTTCTCCCAGTCTGTGGCTTATCTTTCCTCTTTCTTAACAACATCTTTCAAAAACAAGGAGCTTTTGATTTCAATGAAGTAAAATTTACCACTTTTTCTTTTATGGGTCATGCTTTTGGTGTTATATCTAAGAAATCTTTACCTAACCCAAATCATAACTACTTTCTCTCCTGTTTTCTCCCAGAAGTTTTATAGTCTTAGGCTTTACACTTGGGTGTGGGATCCACTTGGAATCAATTTTTATATATGGTGTGAGGCATGGATCAAAGTTCAATTTTGCATATGAATACCTAATTGTTCTAGCACTGTTTGTTGAAAAGATAAACCTTTCCACACTGACTTGCCTTCACACCACTGTTAAAAATTAATTGTCCATATATGTCGGGATCTATTTCTGGACTCTCTAATCTGTTCCATCGATCACTTTGTCTATCTTTACATTAATACCACACTGTCTGGATTACTATAGTTCTATAATAATTCTTGAAATCAGGTACTATTAGTCCTTCAAGTTGCTGTTCCTTTTCAGTATTATTTTCCAGGGCCTCTGCATTTCCACATGAATTTTCGAATCACCTTGTCAATCTATATAAAAAAGCCTGCTGGGATTTTGATTGGGATTGCCGTGAACCCATAGGTTTATTTGGGGGGAACAGACATCTTAACAATATTGAGTCTTCCAGCCCATGAACATGATGTCTCTCTCCATTTCTTAGGTCTTCAATTTCTCTCAGCCATGTTTTGATTCATACACATAACTTTAGAAATTTCTCTTAGGGAAATAATCCAAGACATGGGAAAAAAATCCTATGTATAAAGATGTTCAGCACAGAGTTGATTATAATAGAAAATAATATATGTAGATGCATCCTAAAAGTAGAGAAAGGAAATAGTTAAGTAAATTATAGAACGGTCACACAATGGAGTATTAAATAGCCATTTTAAGTGAAGACTATGTAACAGCATGGAAAAATGCTAAGAATAATGAGAAAAATAGTTCATTATATTGATAGAACACTATGGACATAATAGTAAGGCATTAGAAGAAAGTATAGCAAAATCATAATGAGTTTGAATTGGTGAAATTAAAATTTTTTCTTGAATCTCTAAATTTTTTATAATACAGTTACTGCTTTAATAAATTGCTTTTGATTTTTAATTGAGATACAATTCACATACCACATAATTCACCATTTTAAAGTGTACAATTCAGTAGTTTTTACTCTAGTCACATCACTATCTAATTCTAGAACATGCAAATTATGTGGTGTTTTTTGTTTGTTTTTTAAAGATTGGCACCTGAGCTAA